GATCCGCTCTAACAATAAAAAAATCAAGAACAAAAGCAATTTCACGCGCATTATAATCTATATATTATAACCTTTTTAACGCTCACGATATTATATTTATATCCTCAAATGGTCATAAACTCATAAATCTAAAACCGGGACTCTATTATACATATTAAATATACCTATCCTTGCGGCTCTCGTCTCTGACATCGATTATAAGTCATACTATTTCATATTATTATAGAAAAAATATATTTCTAGAAGGTTGTACGTCCAGGTCTGGCTTAACGGATGTAGGCGCGAAAAAGTTACATTTTCAAGTGAAGCGTCTAAATTTTGATTTATGAATAAAAAAAATAAGAAATCTGTGATTCATACTCGCGGTTTACTATGCCGTTCGTCAAGTACAAGCAGGATACAGCCAACCTCTAAAAATTTAAAACATTTGAATAGTGCACCCAGAATGGTAAATGGACATTTTCCCCCCGATATATTTTTATGCGGGCATTTCCCCTCATTTTTTTCAAATTAATTATTGACTAATAATATTGAATTTAATAATATATTATTTATCATTTAATATGAACTTTTTTTTTTTTAAAATAAAATATAAAATAGATTTTATTTTCATAAATATAATAATAGATTACAAATGTATATGTTTGATCAACTGAACTACTTACTTGAAACAATAAAAATTTAAAAAAATTTAGTAGGTATAAAGTAAAATATAATAATTAATAACTAATAAAAATGCATTAAAAATTCCGACATAAAAATGATACATTTTGTAAAAAGAATTGCTTGTGAATTTGATTCAAGATTTCAGTTGATCGAAAATTCAAAAATATACATCTATAATTTATTATATTTATAATATTATACAATATAGGCATAAATCTATTCATATTAAATTATTAAATATTATTTTTAAAAAAATGGGGGGAAAAATCAAAAATATATCATGGGGTTGATGTCCGGGGGGGGGGGGGGGATGTACTCGATTCTTCGAGAATAATATGTTCTGCCCATTGTCGAACTTCAATATTTAGCACTCTCACGTATGCATGTAATTTTATATAGTATAGAAATACTCATCAAATGTTAATTATTATTCGTTTATAGGTTTATGCGTCAAAATACAAAGACGAAAACTAATCAATTTATTAATATTATTTACACATGTACATTGTACCTGCAATTCAATCTCGACGAATCCGTTTGATTTGGACGCCACAACGTATCCGTAATCGCTGTCAATTATTATTCTGAAAACTTTTTTAACAAAACAAAAACGGTTTTCGTTGTTTTTCAAGGTGTTATTCCGTGGCCACAGCGGGGAGCATAATATTCATAGATTACGGTAAAATGCGTCTGTTTTATAATTCAAAATAGTAATTTTACGATTATCGTGCAGTGCAGGGTATATAGGTAGTATATAATGATATATAGTACCTATTCGACGTTCGGGAATTATTATTAAGGTCATAAAAAAAGCGTGTTACCACCCACCGAGACAATAACAAGCGTGTGTGTTTTAATAATATACGACCAACGTGCTAGATGTTCATTATAATATATTATTCTCTTTTTAGCGATTTCCGTCGATTATATTGTTTTCATCGTATATTCGTTTGCTGGAAATTCGCTTACATGTGCAGGTTAGGTTATTATTTCACGAGCAGACGACACGGCCTTCGCAGGCTATATACGACTTTACGACATAATATTTATGCCTACATTTTAATAAGGACGAAAACCACAACTTTAGTTCGAAAAAATCACAATATGATTAATTGTCAATTCGTGCGGCACAACGGTATGATAATATAATATGTATACGTAATGATAACACTATAATAATAGTCCACTGCAGGGTGAATGAAGGGCTGGCGTCGAAAAAAACGTACTCAATCAAGTGGGCCCGCGGGATAAAACCCAACTGTAGGGGTACAATACATTTTTTTTTTTATCAAGATTTAAATGCAATTTGTATTCTAGAAATATTTTATAAACTGCACGTATTAGTATGCCATTATAATATACATCATAAATCATCGCGGTTTAGAAGAAAAATATAGGTGGAGCGACAGCCCCTTGGCACCCCCCCCCCTCTTCGGATGCTCTTGTAGACTGCAATAGTCACAGTATATACAGGGTGTAACAATACAACTGACTTTTGGAAAAACTATTGTTCTAATTAATATTTAACATTTTTTATATACATAAAATTTACAGTCACTTTTTTAACACTGAAAATAAAAAAAATTTAAATTTGTTTTGATATATTCAAAATAGCCAATTTATGAATCTGATTATAAGAACAATTTTGATAGTAAAACATTTATCTAAGCAAAGTAGTTTTTAGAATTTTTTAAAATATCAATATTTTTTTGATTAAATTAATTTTGAACTTTTTTCAAAATATTTTTTTTGAGAATTTGCTGACATGAGTATATTTCTTACATTATTAACTTATCATATAATTTTAACAATTTGTGTCATACGTTTAAGTAGCATCATTTTTTTTTCGTCTAGGCTGTCTGTTATATTATTATGTATATATTATGTATTTTTACAGGTTAGGTTCAAATACAATAATATATTTATGTACGGCCGTTCGGCATTGTCAATACATAATATTATAATATTAGAAACATATGGGTAAATAATAACACTAGGTATGCATACATGTTTACGACCGATTTTAACGATTTTACCGACTCGCGGTGTAGGTATAACATAATATAATATAGGTAACTAGGTATATGGTATATTCTACTTGTATATTTACAATATAATATAATTTATACTCATAAATTATATTATATTGTAATAAATAAAAAATATAGATATACATTTAAAGAGTGAAAATGCTGTTTAAAAATAAATAGTAAAAAAAGTTTTAAAAATTGAATAATTAAATGATACTGTAAAATAAACGAAACGACTATCATTGACATGATATTATATAAAGTTGTATTGTTGTACCTAAGTTTATTTATAATTTAACTCATCGGTTGTATCCTTATCACTGAATAGTATATGTGATGAGACTGATGAGAATCTCAAGAATTTCTCTATAGGATTATGATTTTAGTTCAGAAACCCAGAAAGAAGATAATATCCATATATATATATATAATATATACAACAAATGAATATTTCTTATTACCTTTATATGAAAGTTGTTATAATATCAGAGTCGGAACGAATTTAACGATTTTACAAACTCGCGGAGTATATTTTACACGTATCCATGTTATTATACTGTATGTTAAATTATTATACGAGTAAGAGATCATATTTATGTATAAATTGTATTATTTTGTAATGAATAAATAATATGAATATAAAGAGCGAAAATGGTCTAGTTTTAAGTTATGTAAATAAAATAATATCAACGAATAAATGAATAATGATTATTATCTATCGATATGATATAAAATTGTACTGTTTAACTGTTATGCCTAAATTTATTTACTTTATTTACTTGATATTTTTTGCTTTTTGGGGACGAGAATATCGAATGTTTTTCTATATATAGAAAAACGCTCAGTCATTATAATTTTTATAGACTATAATTTTATAGACTCTTAAGAATGATGATTTTAGTTCATAAACCCAGAAGGAAGATATCAAATAGATATTTTCCTATTACTTTATGAAAGTCATTAACTGATTTTAACGATTTTACAAACTCGAGGTGTATATTTTACACGTATATTACTGTATGTTAAATTATTATACGAGTAAGAGCGCATATTTATGTATATATTGTATTATTTTATAATAAATATAAAAAATATGGATATAAATTTAAAGAGCGAAAATGGTTTAATTTTATGTTATGAAAATAAAATAATATTAATGAATTAATGATTATTATCTATATGATATATTATATCATATAAAATTGTACTGTTATACACCCAAGTTTATTTACTATTATACCTAGTAGGTATATAGAGAAAGGTTCAGTCATTATAATTCTTAAAGACCATAATTTTATAGACTGTTAAGAATATTATGATTTTAAACCCAGAAAGAATAAGAGACATCAAATGGATATTTTTTTTATTACCTTTACATGAAAGTCGTTATAGCATCGGACTGATTTTAACGATTTTCCAAACACGCGGTGTACATTCTATATACACGTATACATATATAATATTATTACTATGCGTTGTACGAGTAAAAGCGTTGTACATATTATTATTAATATATGTATATATATATAATATTTTATATAAATTATATAATATTTAACGGGTAAAAACGCACTGCTGTCCCGCGGTCGCGGTCGAACCCGGGAAACGTCGTCGTCGTAGTCGTCCTCGGCGGCGGCGCTCGGGGATGCGCGCGAAATTGACGAGCAGCGGGCCGAGGGGGTGGCTGGGGGGTGGCGGCGGGCGCCCGGGCGAAAGAAAAAGCAACACTCGCACACACAGAGCTGGCATTCGCACGGCGGCGTAAAAACGGTCTGTTGCGCTCCTAGTTTTCCGTTTCCACCCCGTCGGCGACGCACGTACCCCGCGCTTTGGACATATTATTATTGTTACATCGTCCGTGCACAATAAAATACGCCGCCGTTCGAGACCGGCTCTCGCTGACGATAACAATACCAATTATAATTATAATATAATAATAATAATTAGCCACTTTAAAACGTGTTATTCGTCGCGACGTAGTCGGCGGCGACCGGCCACGAATAATTATAATAATTGCGATCGATACCGACGACATCGATAAATAATAATCCTCCCGTTTATTATAATACAATAATATTATCATTTATTATATAATATCAGTACGCGGACGCGATCGGCTCACGTCTCACACGCGCGGTGCTCGCGAGACTGCTGTCGGATCTGAAGATCGTCCGCGCGCACGTCCGTCGTGGTGTCTACAGGAAATAAATATTTCCAAAGAAATATCCACACGGCGACTTCGGGCCCGATAAGGCGATAACGACGATAATAATAATATTACAAATATTATATTACATCGCAATCATGCCAGCCATCGTAGCCAACGAGTTGCAAGACATGCAATTGCGGTCGGCCCACGTAACGGACGAGGTAAGCGATGCACCCGGATCACACTTTATTGTATTTTGCACACATCACTATTATGCCATCACAATGAGGAATCACATATTATTCGATATTGTATATCGTTTTCGTCGAGATTCTCTATATAGAAATTGCTGATTTCCCTTGTATTATATGTTTTGTTGGTGTTTTTTTGTTTGCAGTCTCTGGAGAGCACCCGTCGGATGATCGAACTCTGTGAAGGGGTACGTAACATAATATAATACACCGTGTAATATAGGTACATTCCTGCAGCTCTATGTGTATTGTGTATAGGTATAGGTACGTAACGTAATACGAAAATGTTTATTTTTGTAATTGTTTTTTCCCCGCACAAAGCACAACTCCCTTGCCGCAGCTATAACCCCGATCCAATGTCGTATTTTTCAAACGGTGTAATACTATATTCGTCCGATTTTTTTTGTTTACACCCGCGACACCGGAGCGACTTTTTTGCGTCGTCTCGTCTGTAGGTAGTATTGTTATGGGGGTATTAAATTATTATTATTATTATTATTATTATTGTTGTTATTACCGTGTTCTGATTTCGTCTCGCCGTGCGCCCAATCACTGCGCTTGGCAAACGATAATCAATCGCCGACAAAATCTCATATTACCTACCTAAATATATAAAGCATACCTATATGACCAACATTATAATAATATGAAAATTTATATTTATCGACTTATCGTTGAAAACGCGTTTGCTCGACGCCGCCGTCAAACACGTGCGTTCATTCGTATAAATAATGTTACGGGTAACGCGAGTTTATTAAATTGAAAAAATTAATTAATTACATGGTTGACAGATTTTTAATAGAAAAAAGGTTCAATTTAATTAAACTATAATCTGCAGATTCGGTTTGCGTTATAATTATGTTGTGCTTAAGTGATCCGGATAAAGTTATCCTTCACTATTATTTTATGTTTAGGTATTATATACCATTAATCTGGTAATTCAATTTACATAAATTCTTTTTCTGAACAATAACCTTCTGCGAAAACATTTTAACATAGTTACAAAATAATAATATTAGACTATAAATGTCAATTTTTATGAACATTTTAATAGACTTTAATAAATTGTAACAATATTTGTTATCAGGAAGACGAACTTGTGCATTTAGAAAATATAGGTACCAATCATTGGAAATCAATCGTTTTATTTCAATAAATTAATAAATTTTCGGTGTGGATGAATTGTATTCGATCGTTGTTTTGTACTTATTTTAATATCAAATTCAACCATATTAAATATTTACATTTTAAATATTAAAATATTTATATATGTATAAACATCGATTGGGTCGAAAATAAAATTTCAAATAGTGAATATACAGGTGTAGGTATAGGTACGAGTATGAATGTATAGATGCAATAATTAACTTTATTAAAAAATAAATAAATGTTATATAATATTATAAATAATATTATTTTTAAATTTATTTTAATGACATACCTAGGTATACTATCGATTATTTGAGATGAAGGGTTATTATGCAATAAAGTGACGTTTCTTTTCATTATAGGGTGTCAGACACGGATATTGTCCAATTTTATACGATATAGGTACATTATAAAATGTATGCGTCGGTAGGTATTCATGATAACTCGACAAAAGACGCATTTAGGTGATGACTATACACCGTCGGATGTTCATTAATGGTGTCGAGATTATTTTGACAGTGACGGTTAGATATATACATATATAAGTATAATATAATCGCTAAACGATTTATTATTGTACCTATATATGTAGCAATGTAGCATATATTATAAGGCTTTTGAATGTGTACATACCACCTCGTTAAAGATATATTTAAGACGAATACGATTGATAGAAGAACTTTAAGTATACTTTTAAAAACGGCTAAAGTAAGCGCATATAACCACTATAAGTATATATAATACCTATTTAAAAATTTACAATGTACATAATATATACAATTTATTATATTTATATAGTAAAATAAACTTGTATATTATATATATTATGTGCAGTATTTCTTCGAGTTTTTACTTGGAAAGTATAATAGAAGTGTGTTATTTCTTAAACGATAGTGAATATATAAGTCTATAGTCACTTGAGAACCACTTAAAAAGTTTATTTCAAAGTTAAATTGCATTTAATGAAAACGATTTTTTTTTTTTGTGAATTATTTATTATAACGTTTACTCATAGTCGTGAATAGCCATTAGCCTGGTAGGTAAATTAAATCGCACTTTAAATAATAACGTCTCATAAGTTTCTCAAGCGATTTTCGCATTCGTCGAGTTCTATTCCACCAGTCTCGTTTTATATAAAGTAGTATAGGACCAAGAGCTATATAGTTGTTCATCCGAGTCATTAAATAGTTTTAATTTAAAGTCTAGAAAGAATGATGAAAAACATTCCCACGTCTTTTTGTTGATTCAATTTTACAAATTCGTCCACGAGCTAACTGACCTTTTTTAAATTAAGTTTAAAAAGTAAACAAAGAACTACTTTATACAGGCATAATATAGTGTGTAGTGTGTATCTATGAATATTTTAATATAATATTATGCATAAATAATATACCTATACTTATATTTTCCCGCATTTGGAGTTTGGACTTTAAACCGTTGACTCTGTTAAAGTTAAGTTTTTCATAAATTTATAATATTAAATATCATTTATTTTCATAGTGTGTGTGTGTGTGTATGCTATATAATTCTAAAGTATAATAGCTCGTGTTTATTTGTTAATTACTCATTATGTCACTATATTGAATCACCTCAATACTTAGCCATTAATCATTTTCGTATGAAGATTTTTCATTAATTAACTGAATTAAAACAACTCAAGTGTGAGGTGAGGTGTATTTTATGTTACAAATTCTATGACTTTAAGTACACATTTAATAATAATTTTCATGAAATATTCAAATGATGTATGAACTGGCTAAAAAATTATTCAATGGTACACCATCAGAATTTTTAATGTAGTATGATTGATTATGAAAAACATATTTATAGATATTACATTTTTAGTTTTCACTTAATATTGTAGTTGAGATAACTTTTGGTGAATCAATAGTATAAACATATTATTATAACGAATAGTTATTTTATAATTATAAATATTATATTAAATTTATATTAAATATTATATTTAATATTATTATAAATAAATAAAATAAATAAATAATTATCATGTGCGCTTTTTGTTTTCATTTTAAATTTATTTTATAAAAATCTGATTTTAAAAAGTTTTAAATTTTAATCCATTATACCCACACAATAAATAATAATGGTATTAATTTTATTGTTGTTAATCCGTTTTATGTATTGGTACCGGGAACATAACATGGCAAAACTTTCTGGGAACGTGTGAGAATCCACTGGAATTATATTGAAATTACGCAAATGAATTATAGTTTACTCATCATAAAACTAAATAATTGTTAATTTAAATTATACATATATGAAGCTTTACGCTAAATTTTTATTTAAAAACCACTTAGGTTAAACATTAAAAACCGAACATTAGGTTTTAATTAGGATACCCATGTTTACTATATACCTGTACTAGCGAATTCGATGCTAAATTGGTTAAATCGACAGGTCCCATTACAATTCTCTGATTTCTTATGACATTAATATATAAATGTAAAAAAGTGAGTAAGTGGATGTCTCTCTGCTGTACAGTAGGTTACACGCGGGTCAATGTATAATGGATTGTATTAAACTTGAATTCAATGATATAATATCATTGTAAAATTAAAAACGATTGTGAGCAGAGACGGTTTGTCAGTGTGGATATTTTATACTGTTATTATTTATTATAGCCTGTAAGTTGAATTAATATTATAATTTTTTATTCGTTTCTATGGTGATAAACAAATCTTTAGAAATAAAAATCCCGTTTTTGGCGTTTTTCGTAATTTGTTGGTGGTTTTTCCCGTGACATTAAATAACTATTGAGAAAATCTAAAAATTCCCTCTCTAAACTACCATCTTGATCTAATTTGAAAAAAGATAAGATAATATATGTTGAAATCAAAGCACACATTCTGGTAGAAATTTTGAATACAGAATAAGAAAAAATAAAAATAAATTAATAATAAACACCTTTGTAAAACCACTAGCTTCCTCCCTCAGCTCAGAATCTAAAAATGTATAAATTAAAAATAAACATTGTAGGTAGGTATTAAAGAACAATTTAATCCAACATATTAGGTATCTTTTATAACTGTTATTAAATTTAATTTAAATTGAATACAATTTTTAAAATAAATCAGCCATTTTATTCCTTTAATATTTTAAACACTCAAAATCTTCATATAAATAGGTATGACGAAAACTGTAGATACCGCAATTTGTTCTCAGACAATAGGGATTTTTTTCCATAAATTAATGTGCAATCGATACATAATAATATAAAAGGTAGATTTGTAGGTACATATTATTACATTAATAAATTCAAATATCCAAGAACAAAAATATTTAAGTGTCTTTAAAAAATATTTATAAGCGAATCATTAGTTTCACCATAAATCTAAGAAAAAAAAATGTCTTACTGTATAAAAATAAAGAAACTTTCTTTTAGTTTATCATAAAATCTTACTTTGACGAGAAAAGTTGTCAATTTGTCTTGATAATAATTATTAGATTAAGTATTACTATAATAAACATTTTAAATTTTGTTTCAAAAGAATACTCACTGCAGTGAATCCAAACGGTAAAAGACAATATTATTACGGACTATATAGTGTATTATATAATCATTAATATTATATTACATTTGTGAGCATAAAAATGACTAACGTGAAATTTTTGCAGACAAAGGAAGCAGCCATCAAAGCTCTAGTTGAGTTAGATGATCAAGGCGGTAAGGATGAATTAATTAATATTAAATAATATGCATTATAGTATTTAGTATACCCCCGCAAGTTTGAGATGAACTATACGGCAGGCGTACTTATATATTATACAACATTCAAGCTCTCAAATCCACTGATAAACCTAATAGGTATCTGAATTAATAATGTAACAAAATATCGTTGATTAAATACGAACCCTAAACTAATATTGAAAATTACTGAGAGACCTATTATCGGTGGTGTACCTACACAGCGGTGCAGGAGAAGTGTTTAGAAAATAATGTGACCCACTATTTGTCATAATATGTTTAGTTAATTTGAATATATTTTGGAATCCGAGTATACCTACTGCAAGTTCCAAATCTGTTTGCTGGAAAAATTGTACATAATATATAAATATTATAATACATTTCAATGACAAATGATAATAACCAATAGGCATGCTATTTTTAGATAAACGTTTTAATTACGTATGAACATGATTTCTCTACGCAAGTAATATGTACACACATATATATTACATATATATATAGGTTTATGTAATAATTCACATGAAATTTTCACTTTGAAATATTTCAAACTTGAAATTTTCATCCTTCTTGAAATATTGAAAATTTTTATATTTTAATTATTATATTATAAATTTTAATTTGTTTTTTAATTTTCTGTTTTTTGTATGTTCCATAAAATTATCACTAGATGGTCACATTGATTTCATACCTAATTGGTTATTATCAATATTTAATTTCCGATCACGTTGTAAAGAAGATATACATAATATATATGAATATAAGATAGATAATTATTACATAATTTATGTAAAGTACTCGATGAAGCGATATTTCCATAACATTTTCCACTGGACATGTAACTAAGTAGAGGTGTTTACTGTACTTCCTACTATAATAGTTTTAAATTAAAATTTAATTTTTTATTTTTCATCAAAACGAAATATTTCATGAAACTTTCAAAAGAATTAATTTGATGAAATTTTAGAACCCTATATATATAGCAATAAATTCTCGATGACAATAGGTATTATATATGACATCCCCTCCTCCCTTGAAAAAAATCATGGATTTACCTCTACCTAGTATGATATTTATTTTTGTTTTTCGGTTAAGCACCTACTACCTACCTGCTATATAATAATACTTTACGACGACTCACCAAAAATAATATCTACGGATCTGACATAATACTGAAGAAAAATAATATATATATATTTAATCGTTCAACAAGTCTTTACGCTCAAAGCACATAAACCGCAGACGGCTATACTGCGATATTTTTATCCCAACTTTTATCCGGGTATACCTGCTGCAGCAGTTCTATCGAAATGGTTTTTGTAATCGGTTTAAGCACGCGTTGCGTGACTGACATAAGCATATTGACCAAGAACGATTATACATAATATATATATAAATATATACTATACATAACTATATGCATCATGGTTTATTATTCGATTTCCAGAGAAAATGGACAGGATCGAGGAGGGGATGGATCAAATAAACGCGGACATGAAGGAAGCGGAGAAGAACCTTACCGGCATGGAGAAATGTTGTGGTATTTGCGTGGTGCCTTGCAACAAGTAAGTTTCCATCTATATTAATTCACCGTAACAACACTATTGGCTCGGAATCAAATAAACACTTGTATACGTGATGTCTCGGTGGAAACTGTCAAACGGAGTATAAAAAATATAAAAATAAATACAAACCCCTCTCGACGACTAATACGTTTTATCTTTTGTACATCCAGGGAAAAATATCATAAATCCAACGGTTCGGCACTTCGACCTACAAGACGAAATCCTATTTCGAATCCGATCCGAAAAAAATACACTCGAGTGAATTTTATCACTAATTTATATTAGATTTCAAAGAAGTAATACAATTTTCCGGTAAAAGTACAAAATATGATGTTTCCATTATAGATTTTTATTATATTTTTATTTTTTTATTGAAAACAATTAGTAGTTAAAAGTTGGTAACGAACAATAGTAGTAATACATAATTATTATGTAACGAGTCGTTATTATGACGTATTAGCTCGAAATAAAATGCAAATATAGTTATTCCTTATCCATAAAAGACATCGATATAATATTGATTTACAATCCAGGTTAACACATATACGTACTAATTACGTAGGTATATATTTATATTATAATATGCGCCTAACTATGATATATAACATATTTTTATAGTTAGCACACTTTTTTTGAATTTCTGACAAAATTAATAAATACATATAATAATATTATGTATTGAGGCTATTAAACACAGACATGTGCAACATTTACTTTAATATGGAAACCGAAAACTGCAGCAAGTAACCCAAAGTGATTTTCGAGCTTTTCAGATACACGGTGCGCGTACGTAGCAAGTTCATATTATATTCAAAATACAAATAAATAATTGCGTTACAGATGTGCACTACACGTATAGGTTTATTTATCATCGATTAGAAACCTCGACGAGAGTGAAAAGATGATTGACGGCGAGTTTCAATCAATCAGACGGATGTCATTGATCATTATTGCCCATGTACGGTGGTCCTGCAAATGCAGTGAACGGTTTTTGTGTAAATCCTATCTAAATTGCAATGTTAAATGTACCGCACTGAAGCGTCAACTATATGACGACTTTATCGGCGGTCATAAATTGCGTATATTACCCTGCGCAGAAACTTTTTTTTTCCCTCTTCATTTTATAATATTAGGTATATATACTCTGTAAAGGATGATTAAAATTTTATTTTTATTTCATCAGCCCCCGATTTATCGTATTTTCAATATGTACAGATTTTTCAGGTCACGTCATTTTTCTGATTTTAATTTTTGCATTTTTTTATGATAATATGCTTTTATGTGTATATTTAAATATTCCCTATATTTACTATAGGAACACCTGTCAATATTAATTTGATCTTTCATCAGTTATTATGAAAGAATTAAAAAAAGCACAAACCACTTAAACAGTTAAAAAAAGAACTTTTAGTACCCAAATATAATTAATTCTAAAAACGTTCTGAATAAAAAATGTTAGTATCTTTTTTTAAATTGTTATGTGCAATACTGAAAAAAGATTTTAAATAAATAAATTTTTTTGTAATGCTACAATTGAAGAGAACGCTTCACCGCCATGCATTATCTCCGTCTTACAAACGCATAACATAGAAAATTGTATTCGTTTTGCGAGTAATCCATTTAACTTTAATAAACATTTAATAACGTTATGCGTTGTATCGTCTTACCAACGCATATACAGCAGATTTTACGTTCTAAATAATCCATTTAACTCTATTATGTTTAATATTAGAGTGAATTGAACTATTATCAAATTTAGAAGTAAGAATAGTATCTACTGAATCCCTATAGTTTTAAAATTGTAAATAACTCGCTTTAAAATTAAAGCATTAAAAAAAAAATTTGAGATTCACTAGATAATATTCTATTACTTCTAAATTTGATAATAAGTCAATTTACTAATTACTTCTAATATTGCACATAACAGGGTTAAATAGAATACCTATTTAGAACTGCAAATTTGGAATATAGGTACCTATGTCATGTGTTTATAAGATGAGACCACGCATAGCGTGAGAGTGTTGTGTAATAAATAATAATTATTAAGACTTAAGAGGACGTCACACCCACGTGTGTGGTACGAACGAAGAACATAGAAATTGTACGCACAGAGGTTCCAATGTTGTGTTATTAGTTTTAATATTAAGGTGAATTTATCTAATTATATCTATCATTAAACTTCAAGCTTACAATAACATTATCTATGTTTGAACTTTGAAAGTTAGATTTTTAGGGTATTAGAATTTTTTAAGTGAATTATGAGTATAGGTATATCAAATAGTTAAAATCAAAAATGCTTCCAAATAACGAACTTAAAAATTTTAATATCGCTAAAAAACCACCCTATAAAGACTCAGATAATGTGCTTAACTTTAGTAAATGAAAACCGGTAAATTCATTTTAATATATTAAAGATAACAAGGCGGAGACAGCATAATATGTGGATGTGACGTCCTCTAGTGAGTTACATATAAAATAAAAAAAATTTTTAAAAATACGTCAATAATAATATACAAAATTAAAGAACTGACCATACACCATTATACATTACATTATTTATTTTTATATTCTGGAAAAGTTGTATTTTATCGAGTTTGATAGGTAGGTATTTTGTTTTTAGAGATTTAGGTGTATAATATATTCTGTATATAATATTATCATACTGACATAGCTGTCCAAAACATATAATTCAATTCACATAACCGTTATATGATGACCATCCAAGCAAACAGTTGCTGTATTTTTTTTCCACGATTGACGTTTATTAAAATGATTTAAAAATAAAGTTATTAGGTATAATAATATAATGTATTTTATCTGAATTACACCTTTACTGCAGTGTACACGCGCAGTATTTAACAATCGTTAAATACTAATAATTGTCAGATACCTATCATATTTTTATATTCCAACGTTTATCATAACATAAGTGACCTATCAGGACACTGTTGTTTCCAAATAAAAATATATTACCTATACAGTGGCTGGCGACCAAACTCTTTCTCACTTTAATACACCGTCCATTGATATGCGTTTATGCCGTTATAATTCGTCATAATTAATCGCTGTTATTCTTCCATCTGGCCATCATTCACTCTCGTCGAGGACTCCAATCAACGATGGTGCTGATACGGTCTACCTACTACAAGGTAAGAAATCATTTCCCCGTTAATTATTAAATTAATTTTGTATAAATCATTATTATATTAATTAATTTAAAAACGATACCCACATTAAAACGCGTGTAATTCAAAAATTATCCTTTATTTATTTTCTGATACACAAGAAACGTTCTTTTCCTTTACATCAAATAATACAAATCTTTGTAATATCATTTTTTTTGTATTTTATTGGGTGTGTTTCTTTGAAGTCGTTTATTGAATTTCAAATTGTGTTTATAAATTATCATCCAATATTATAACCAAACGAGAAATATTATTTCACATTAACGCTGAAATCTGTTAGAAACTTTTAATTATCTCTGTCTATATAACTTAGATTATACAGAGAAAAAAAATAGACGCTATGATAAATGTGTAAATAAGAATACTAAAAAAAACACGTCATTATTTCTTGAACAATAATTGCGTATTGTTTGTAAGGATTTTACATCTTATACAATAATTGCGTATTTTTTGTATATAGATTTTACAAATTATTATGTATTTTAAGATATATATTTATATAATTCGTTTATAATCATTAAAATGTAAATTCTTGTTTGTTGTTGTTGTTTTTTTTTTTTAATAGTTTTGTATATTATGGTGATTCAATTATAACTTTTGATTAGTTTATTGGTACTTTAGAGCCAGTGCTTGTCTGTTATCTCAACTACCAATTTTTTATATTTAAACAAATTTAACGTATTTTCGATGGCTGACGTGCGACTTAATATACGAGATAGGTACGAATATTCCAATATGACCTACTCCTTTTAGCTGGTCACTAACCTTAATATATGCAGGGTATCCATAAAGCATTACATATCTTGCATATTATATTTCGTATAACCTATTATTTTGATACTATAATTATTGAATTCATCTCGGATGAGTACCTATATTGAATATATTATTTCCATTACACAATTATGTAAATACGTGGGAGTTCTTCAATACGATGTACGCAGTTTAAATATTACGTATGTCATCATTTAATTACATTGATTCTATGTGCATATAGCAACCTTTATATTTTTTTTTTTATGCCACAGTTGCGAAACATACTGTATGGAAAAAAATCACCACGTAGGTGCTTACAAATCCTATAGTCAATGTTTGTACTGAGGGGGTAGATACTCGTGGGGTAGAATAGTAACTCATAATATTTTTAAAAAATATTTATGCTTACCCATTCTAATCAATATAATATCATCCTAATCAATAAGACATTTAAATCTTCAGGTACGCACGTTTTTTTAAGCTTTTGCATACCCTTTCTCATTATTTTCCCTATTCAAGCTCAAACACTGCCTATAGTTGATATACTTATATAATATAATGGTTATCAATACATAAATATTATGAGAAGGATAACTGTCATGATATTATATAAGATATAACCATATATAGGTACACACAGGGGTTAAAGTTAAGGGTATGGTAAGGGATGGTATCCCTCCACTTTTTATAATTTAAATTTTCCATCCCTCTTATAATTCTATACAAATATTATCGATTTATATTGGTGTTTTTCATAACATTTTTATTTATGGTTTTTTAAATAATTATTACAATAATACATTGAACAATGGTGTTTATATTAATATTATAAATGTATTATTACTTTTTTTTATAAGAAACAAGTACCTATCCATTTGTTTGCTCGTTTAAATTTGACAATAATATGACAATTAGATCTAATAGATGTAAACGTAATTTCTTACAACTTAAAATGATAATAAGATAATATATTATCTTTTCGGTTGTAGAGTTCAAAGTTACAACTTTTACTTTTTAACCTATATAAATCAGAACAATATGAACTATATAAATCATGGGCATTCTTCCATTTATTTCGAGCCACTTCGACCACTGCAGAGGTACACGTATACATATATGGTACAACAATATCAGACATGGCCAACGGGCAACGATTATTTTCCCCTAGATTCACTGTTGTAGTGCAAGTAGGTACCTAGATGCACAATATTTTACTATCCGTTACACACACTATAGAGTTAACACAATTAGACAGCTATCGTGTAATAGGTACCTACCTAACTTGTACCGCACAAGTCGACGAGCCGCAGTTTTGATAGTCGAGATAACGATTAAGTAATTTTATTTCGTATTTCAGTTTTGCAAACGTCGAATAATACCTCTGTTCAACTAAACTTTTTATAGTTTATTTATATTTATTATATTATACATACCATATCGTTATTATTTTAATATACTGGTAAACTCGATATATATAGGCTTGTCGGTAATTATATTTTAACTACTAAATTGCATGTAAAACTGTAGTACGTCGTTTGTTTGAAGTGTTTTGTATACATTGTGTTATACAACTATTAAGTAATATGCACATATAAATTTTATGAATTTTTAGATATTTAGATTTGATTTGATTGGATTTTATCAACAGCATCTTCCTCTTAAAACAAATACTACTATATACATATTATAATACTTGCGACAACTATCGTATATTATATACTTTTATAGAAAATAAAAAATGCAAAATAATTATACAGTAAACTATACGTTATTCATCACGTGATAATATTGCAATAGCATCGTTAGAAAATGGTCTTTAGATATTTCTTTAACTGTAATAATATATTAACTATACAAACTAATTTTTCGTGCAAAACTTGAATGCAAGATTCAAAAAAATTAAAATTGGAGATATTATATTCCTAATTAGTAGGAATGCAGTCTAATTGCATTTAATAATTATCTACGTATAAAATAAAAATAAAATATGAAACTGTATCTATCTCTTCTTGATAACAATATATATCTACAATATGCACTAATAATTTAAAGCAACATATTATACTAGAACTATATAAAGGTACCTGTAGAGATGTGATGGGAGTAAAAATTATTAAAGTGATATCGAACAATAACAAAAACTTGACAGATTTGTTTAAACCTTTATCTAAAAAAAAATATTATTTTTAAAACTTTGAACATAAAAGTTTGTACCTATCTACTATATTTTAAATTATTCGTGAAAACAGTTGAGCAAGAGATACATAGTTACATATTATAATTATATTAATAAATAAGTATAATAATTAATAAATAAGTTTATTAATCAAAATAGTATATTTTAAAACTGAACTGCATAGTTTTTACAAAATTAAATTTTAAAATGTTCGTTTTTTTTATAAAAAATAACATACTGGTAAAATATATCATAGAAAGTATTTTCAATCTTTTTAAATGTTGCGTAAGTTTTATATTGATGGATTGTTTCCTATTATATTTTCTCGTTTCTTTTATAGAACAAAGCATATATACCTATAGTATTATATACTACGTATAAATATTAAATTAAAACGAAAAAATTATGTTCGCAAAAAATAGTAAAATAATAAAATTGAATATTTTTTTACAAAACCGTTGTTTAAAATTATTGAATTTGGGTTTTACTGGGAACAATATATAATCCAAAGTGGCTGCAGCGTTATTTCTTTAAGAAATATTCTCACATAGAAAAAAACTCTATTGTCAACAAGTTCAAATCCAGATGTTTATTCTCCCCGAAAACACTTATTCCCTGCTTTGCCTAAACAAATTATATATAGTGTTACGCTATTATGTTTAGGTCGACATCTTTCAAAGAGGACGAAGGCACGTGGAAGGGAAACGAAGATGGAAAAGTAATAAACAAACAACCGCAGCGTGTGATCGAGGGGCCGAACATTACGCCACAGGGTGGATACATAGTGAAGTAAATTGCTATTTAATTGAGAATTAATTAACAGAACAAAATAATACAAAGTGATACAAACGAAAGTATGCATTCGTGTAGGATTACAAACGACGCTCGAGAAACGGAAATGGATGAAAACTTGGGACAAGTGAACACGATGATTGGTAACTTGAGAAACATGGCGTTGGATATGGGTTCCGAGCTTGAAAATCAAAACCAGCAGATCGAAAAAATCAGCACTAAGGTATGATGGTTTCGTATTAATTTCGATTTTAAATTTTTAACTATTATTTTGTAGTATATAGGTAGCGTAAAGTAAAATTCATAAATATACATACCTAATGGTTATACCTATTACACCTAAGTAGCTCTATATATTATGATAAATTTCAAAAATATTTTTAAATAGTATAATAACAAATCAAATACAATGTAAAATACCATATTTCATTTTAGACAAAGTCAAATGATTTGCGGATTTCAGCGGCCAACCAAAGGACCAGAAATCTTCTTAAATAAACTACTAAACTTTAACCTTCTTATGTGCATGCTATCTGTTGTCATAAGCAAACATTATGTATGGATTTTTTTTTACGTACTCAAACTTCATGAGTAAATATCGTGTCTTCCCTTCATGTCGTGTTATACTATACAGCATTAAATAATAAATAATAATATAGAAATAGGTTTATAAAATAATAATAATTTATAGATGTATTACATGTGGTTTGTAGTAGGTACCTACCTAGTACCTATATATTATAATAAAATAAATACTATCCGCTTCTGCCCAATGACTCATGTAGATAGATACAAAATGTCTATTAATAATATCGGTATTCATAAAATTTTCATTCGCAGCTTTCACCCACTCGTGACAAGTTTTCGTATTAGCAAGTGTCAAAATTAATTTTTTTGACGGACAGTTTTGGATTTTCTCGTATAAACCTTATGAAGGTTTCAAGTTTGTACCATTTGTATATATAGAATTCGCTGTCCATCAACAAGTTAAAAAATACATCCCTTCACTTTTTATATTATGATGTATAATAATATGCACGTCATAAAAAAAAATAAAAATACAAACAAATAATAATGTTGTTGAAATTCCAATTTAAACTTGCCACCATAAACTGAACTAACGTGATTATTATTTACTTATACTTTGGTGACTTACTATTTATATTTGACACTTGCATTTATGTAAAAACGAGTGTAAACAGTAAAATATATAACCTTAATATTATACGGATCCGTCCACTTCATAATTAAAAACAAAGTTCATTATTTTTGCTATACAACCTCTGAACTCAATAAATACGAGTGCGTTGGAATCCTTCTTTTAAAATGTAATTAATCAATCTCAAAAAATATTAATGCTAAAATACAATTATTAAACATATAAATAGATATATATTTAAACACGTTTATATTATATTTTGTCTCATTTTATATCATATTCTATTTGTAAAATATTCATTATATATTATACTTTATGCGAAACTGTTAAGCTCAAATAATTCAATACAGTATATATTATTCTCAACCAATTAAAAATTAATTGTATTTAAATGTCGTGGATATACCTATATAGTAATATTTACGGCTGTAATAGGGTACTCGCTGAAAATACGCCAAAAATATTGATTATTCATTTATCATTTATATATACCCACTCAAATTAGGTCACTCGTGCAAATAATTGAATAGATTACTAATTGAAACCGTTTTTAGTTTTTATTAATAACATTGTCGTAAATTTCTAAAATGTGTCAAACGCGTTAAATTTAACTACATCCCATCGTGTGTAATAAATTAATAACTATATACATTTAAAAGTCTTACGTACAGTTTACTATGTAACTTAAGTCTGCAGCTATAAAATTATCAATAACTTATGCGCTGTAAGGTCAATGCAATTTCAAAAATGATTCTGAATTCCAATATATCGACGTTTTATCCATTTATTTGTAAATAACTTATTTGTAATTGACCATATAGAAATAATATTTATGATATGATTTTGATTAGGATAAAAATGACGTATGTCAATAATTATTTAGATAATGTCAAACTTCTTTTCTTACTTATCATAACTAGTTATACCGTTCTACGTGACTATGTACTATACACGTACCTTAGTACCTATGGAAATAACAGAAGGGTTGCACGAGTGTTTTAACTCTATTAGCCTGTCTAAGGTTATATCGAATAGATAACTGTGGCAAATTTGTTCATATAATTACTTGTAATCGTGATCCATCTAAAATTAAAAATTTGAGTCGAGTTTACATTTCATGTTAAGTCAAAAGGTCCTGCACGCCAATAATTTAAAAAATTTAAATATTTTTAATAGTTAAAATAAACTAAATGACTTAACACTATATAATCAATTCAAATTGGGATTGTATTATTTTAAAAACGAATACATACAAGCATATTATTTATATTTTGTTCACAAATAAAATAACTTAAACAGGTATAACTATAATAACCACTTTTTTAAATGTTTGAATTTTTTTTTTCAATAATGTTATCATCAATATTGTAATGTAAGAATATAATTAGTATATTTGGCATTTGGGATGTCTATATGTATATTATATAAATCGAATATTGTTTTCGAAATTTAGCATTTAATTTGCATCAATCAAAATGTTAAAAATAGGTAGATATAGTACATTAGTACCTATACTCATCAACCTCTACATAATTTAATAAATGTCTCAAATCTTATATTGCAACTTATATAGTTGTACATTACTTTCATATAGATACGTCTGTAAGTAATAAAGATATAATATTGTTGCATTAGACGATAAGTATTATATTTAATGTAATGTAGCTATAGCTGAGTATTTCACCAATACCATAGATGATTAAATTCAAATTTAATTTTGAAGCTGACTATAAATTATAATTATAGGCATTATAATATGTATGTGGTGTTAATGTTATATGTTATATCGAATTTTTTTTTTTAATTTGTAAAATTATTCAAACGCGACAGCAATCACTTAACCCCCTGTGATGTTTTGTATATCCTGTCCGTAAAAATATGTTTAAACAGAATAATCACAAGAAAACCATTCTATATATTATATACCAAATATTATATTATATTATGTATTGTTTTATGTACCCGCATTATTTTTCAGTTTTATCAATGTCAAGGCTTTTTTCTCTTCGGTTGTACGTGTCCTTCCAGACTGTTTATCTTCAATTATTATCTGTAAAATGAATAAATGTCAATTAGAAAGTGAATTGCGTTTTTTTTTATATACACCTACCTATATAATTTGTTCTTTGTACCCATATTTATAAGTATCTATGTCCTATTATTATGGATTAATTATTTTTTTTAACGTTTTCCAGAATTTTTTAGAAATGTATCGAGAGACAATTGCCAACACATAGGCAAAGTTATTCCAATATATTAAATGTATCATTTCAGTTTTAATTATTTAATTTATAAAATTTGGTAACCCCTCTAAATATCAATACTTTAAAGCAGAAGCATATAAAAGAATATAGAGCGTTGGAGAAAATCTGAAATTGACGTATTTAAATTAAGAACAAAAGAGTTTTTGATATTCTAAAGTGGTCAAACTGCCACTTTTAGACCACATACAAAGAAATATAATGGCCGCTTTAGCAGAATGATTATATAGGTCAGGGGACACCAAATAGCGGCCCGTGGACGAACCTAATCACAAAATAGACATATAATTTTAAATTGTTTTGATTGTAAAGTAAAGAGATTTTTTATTAAGAGGTGCGATGGTATTTTTTGAGAACAATGTCATAAAACAGGAGGCAGGTTAGGTGGCAAAAAAAATAATTGGTTCAAGACTGTACTTATATATTGCAATGCAATTTAATTTTATCAATTCCATGTTTTCAATTAGTATTTCTATTTTTTAAATATTTAAATCGTATTTTGAGTGTTTGAATAACACTGATAAAAAAAGTATAAAACAAATATTTTGACCATGTTATGCATGAAATTACGTGTGACAAAGATTTTTTAATTATTTCATATAAATAAAGTTAGATTTTAACTTTTTGTAACATTAATTTATCAAATGTATAACTTGAACTATGATTGTATTAAAATTTAAAACAGAATTTTGATTTGACACATTTATGCTAAAATAGATGCCATTATTTATATTACTTAATTATAAAATAACTTTTATAGATATTTAATTGATTAAGCAAAAAGTAAATTGAAAATGTAGAGTGAACGAATTATTATTTAGGCGATATATGGAGAAAATACCATCATATGTTTATAAACTGAGGTACGAAATCACGTATTAAAAAACAAAGAATAACTAGTTATTTTGTCGTGATTTTATAATATTATTCGTGGGTACATGAAACTTCTAAAGTACACTATTATATATCTATGATAGTATCAGGGTTTGTTGTAGATGTATAACGCGTTATAAGTACCTAATAGATATTGTGATATGATTAATTTGAAATTTATTATAGGTCAATTTTTTTTAATACCATAGATAAGTATATAATAATTTGTCTTATACCTAGACTGACATCCGTCTCCGCTCAGAATCGTTTTTATTGTACAATGATATTATATCATTGAATTCAAATTTAATACCATCCATTATACAGTGACCCAGTTGTAACCTACTGTACAGCAGAGCACCTTTTTTATATTCATAATATTACGATTTTATATAAACTTTCAACAATATGTATATAAGCTCAGATATTTTATAAATAAAAACTAAGCTAAATTTATATTAGGATATATATAGAAACTTGAAAGTTGGTACTGTCGAGATGCTATCGAAAAAATAATCAATTTTAATTTTGGTGCGAATTACAATTCCTATTTCTTACTACCAAAGTGTAACGTAATTAATTGGGTACCTATAAACCTATAACTGGGTACCAAAAAAATGTATTCGCCCCTACACAAAAATCTTGTCGCCACGCCACTCACTCGTTAAATATAAGATATTCAGGGAAGAAATTAGTTCTTTTGAATATATTTTTCCATAGCTCTGGAGCACAAATAGTATTAGGATCTTAATATTACAAATAAATAAGGATTGATCTAAATTATTATTAATACAAAAAAATTATTTATTATTACTCAAAATTTACGAACAAAGTTACCAAAATGTAGGATTGTATGAAGTTCAGGTGCACGTGATGGACTCGCGGAGAACTGCCATTCTCTTACATAGGGATATTGGCCGGAACCTTACAATCATAAAATATATATGTGTCACCTAAACCGGAGGGGCTTAATATATTATAGTCGGGTTATAATATATCTATTGTGCATATTATGATGCTTATAAAATAAACGTAATGATGTAACATACGTTACAAAAGGATGGTGCAAATTACAATCACATTTTAAAATTTGAGGGGTGGAAATCCAAAACGCATTATGTCCAAAATCAACAAAATCGAGTTGGGAATCAACTGTTGTCGTCAGAATAGATCAAAATTTACTATTTCCTGGTAAAATTTGAGAT